AAAAATTGCCTGATGGCATGTTGGAGGCTGGTGATTAAATACATCCAAGGCTCATAAACTTTTGATAAAGTAACTTCCCTGCTTGCACAACTGGCGGAGGAACAAATACGTAAATCGGCGGCAGTGAGGTGATCACGAGTTATTTTTTCCAAATTCATTATTTGCCTCCTGATTTTTCTAACCCATTCATGAGATTACTGAAACCGGCGTAAGTATTCTCCACCCTGATACAGGAATGGATTTGAGACAGTGTCTGGCGACGGTGCAAACCCTATGCCAACATACCAGAAAGAGGTACTGCTTTAATTTTTATTAAAAAAGGAAGATCTTTGGACAAAATTTAGCGCTTTTCAACAACTGACAGTGAGCGAATGTTAAAAAAACCGAGGCATGTCAAAATCTTGTTCATTAACTTGCTTTGAGATTTGTATTTTAGAGGAGCAACAAAACATATCAAAATTTAAGGGAGGAAATGTGATTTGACAGCCCCACTGTTGTGACTTTTTCAGCATTTTCCTTGCAAAGGAAGTAAAAACCTGTCGAATGAAAGAAAAAGAGATGGAGATGTTAGCGAGCTGGAGCGCGTATCTCGCTTTAACATTAATTTATGAGGTCAGTTGAAAGGCATTCTCCACGGTATTATCTACCGAGCTTCACCTCGCATGGCCTGCATTACCATGCAAAAACATCAAATCCCACTTTCAATTTTACATCACAAATTAAACAATTGCTTATGTACACAGCGTATTCCGTTGCCACGTACCGCCACGACGTGATTGATAATAACACTGACTATACTTCGCCTCACCGTGGAGGCCGTCCACTATCTGAAAGCAAAATCACTGTTCTACCAGGTGGAATCTGAAATGAGCCCACTTCGTGCCAGCACCTGAGGAATGTCTGACATCCAGTGATTCCACAACTAACCACCACAACCGTGCCACACCAAAAGCACCTGCTTGCATTTGACTGACCATGGCTCTGCAAACAGTGTCCTCTCTTTCCACTTTGACATTCAGTCACGTGCAGGACACGTCAACAAAGACCCAACATCGAACCCTCGTGCCCAGGACGCAGTGACAAGTGCTATTATTGCGATCACATGACACAGCACTGCGTGAGAGAAACAGTGAAGGCGTCATCACATGGCAACTTGACCTCATTAACAGATTCATTAGTGAAGGCTGTTGACGCCTGAACAATAACAACTGATCCAATGTACTAATCCGCTTGTTGGGTTTAGTGGCCTGTTTTTATCTGTCCACTATTGACAGTGTGGCCAAACACGACCTAGCGGTTCGCGATCACATGACAAAGGGAGGGCGTATAATGCCTTCTAGAAGTGGCACGCGGTGGCAAATGCTTGCGTGCACCGTTTCAAAGAAGGACTGGTCTCGTGCAATTGCACAGCAGGTGTTGCACCGATGGAGAGTTTCATACATGAAACTGGATGGTCACAGAAGTGGTCGAAATTATCTCTGACAGTTGTGCGGCCATCGTTGAAACACTTTGCTGGAGATGCCTATAATCCTCGGAAAGTTGCTATCTTCATTTTCTAGAAGGTCCCATTTTTCCGGCTAATTACCTGCCAATATGGAATGTCTGGCTCTTGTAGTCTCCTGATTGGCTGATATCATGCATAGGTGTACCTTAAGTGTGCTAATACACACTATAAGGCCAAAGTCAATCAAATAATAATATTAATGCCCTAGAGGCTCCTGCCCTCCCCACTGGGCAACCGGCTGTCACGTGCACTTTTGCATACTCGTCGACAAATAGGCATGGGTTCCGAAGTCCTTGTCTATTAATTGCTTTTGCTGGGAGCTCCACCAGATCCAAGCTCCTCCACAAAAACGCCAATTGCATTCAAATGTACCACTACGGTGCTGCCACACCTTCCCTCAACACAGTTCTGTGCTTCAAGTCTGCCGTGAATGTAGATGATTACGGCTGGCAGAGATAGTTTCAACTGTGGTGGTCCTCAGTCCACCACTTATGTAACTCGGAGGGACTATTAAAGTTCATGCGATTTTTCATAAATACATGCGTTATGAGGGCTAGGTGTAAATGCGTCGGTCCATTGGAGTGATACTTTTCCGTTCTGCCCTCCACAATTCGCATCTCGCATATAATGTCTGTTGAACTAACTGCGAGGATGTGATTGGAACTTGTCTGCCTTGCGGATCGGGTCGAGCCCAGTTTCAAAACTCTAGAAGACTCTCTTAGCCTCCGATGTCAACAGAACGCACCACCCAGAAAGAGTTTGAACATTTTGATTCCCATGACCATATGTGTGAGCATGAACACTGCAAGACCCCAAACAGAATAACTAGAAGGTATGGACGGCGGTAGGAACTTCTGCTATGCCAGCAGTGCTAGGCTGCTTGGATCATGCATGGAGCTCATGTGACTCCCAGCTGGAACGGTGGGATTTAGACAGTCATTATTCTCACGTACTTACAACACTTCGAATGGCCTTGACCTTGCAGTGGTCATAAGTACACAGAGCGGTTTTAATTCATACTGACCAATGCGACAAATTCAACGAGCAATGTTCCAGAATGTTTAGCAATTCAATTTTCCGAATAGAAACCCCTAGAACAGTAGAATGGAAATACTTTCTGGGATGAATCTCTCATAGTTGAGACAAATTGGAAGAAGCGTTCTATTCTTGATCTCGACAACTTTAGTTTTATTATTAGTCTAAAGGTTCCGAGTTTAAGGAGTCATAAACTACTTTCAGGTACTTTTGACATGAGAAAAGTTGTATTAGCCAGAAGTGGCATGTCGTGTCCATTAGCAACTGACAGACAATGAGCTCGGAGAACAGTCAACTAATTCTTTACTTCTTCCACGTACTCCATGAAGATGACGCCTGGATGTTCAATTGTTCACTGACTAGTTCGTCTACTGACAGATTGTTTTGCGATGAGAAATGGAGTTTGTATGGTATTGAAATACTGGACGAATAGAAATACCAATCTTTGGTTGAACCCACCGAATCCAAGCCACCTACTTTACTGTTGGAAGATTAAACCCACTTTGTGTGAGGTGAATTGCAGGAGTAATTGCTCACTTGGATCCCTCCGCTAGCTGGGAAACAAATATCAATGAAAATCGTGATCCTTCCTTTCGATAAAACTTTAGAAATCGAGCAAGACAGTGGCAGCGCAAGACCTAATCACTCACATTATCTCACAACGTATCAACAGGAGTATCACACATGGGACAACTAACTGGGCATCGGTCGGTAGGTCCTTCGGGAGGGTTGGCTTTCGTACTCTCTTAAAGGACTGGTCACCTCCTTTTCTTGACACCCCCATCAGACAATCTCGTGATCGCAATGGAAAATAGACCAGACAGTTTCCAAGTGAAAGTGAAATGGAAGAAGTAAACAGAACTGGATGTATTCGACCTTTGTGCAACAAATATTGCATAAAAGTGGAATTGGCGGCTCACTTGTGCCTCCATGGGAAAAGAGCAGGTTATGGATTGCAACAGTGATTGAATAAACTAGGTGGATATTTTGGAAAGATGTCTGTGGTTACATAAATCTTCTTATAAGAAGGGCACGAACACATTTGGTTGCTGTACTATTCAATCAAAGCAGGACCCGGAGAGGAAAGACTCCTTTTCATTTTGTTCACAAAATAACCAAATCGTTTGATAGCCAAATGGGAAGGTGTGGCTCCTTTGATGCATACTTTCGGGGTGTGATTCATCAGTGGCTGGAGGAATTCCGTCTTACGAATAAACGGCCACTTTTTACTAGAACATTTCGATATATGCTGTCTCCTAACCAATTTCACTCACTGAAATCCATTAATCGGGCTCGCTTCTTCCTACCAAGCAGAAAAGCCTCCCAACTTGGAGAGGCATTTTGTCACAGCCTGGGCGGGCAAGGCACTGTTCACTGAATGGGATCGTCTAGGTACTAATCTCCTTGGAAGTGTCTCTAGGCTTGTAAGGCTCGAGGCGAATATGAGGGTAACGTTTTAGATATACTGAGCGTCACTTATAACACACAACGATTTCTTTTTGAAAGGTTTCAAATGCTTTAACTCACTCTAATGGGATAAGTGATTACTACTACTAAAGGCTATTAGTAGCGCACACAGGTTTATCTAAGAGAAATGCTCAAAAATATTTTTCTAAAAACTTTTTAGGCCTAAGTGATGTAGCGTTTTCAAGATGATTTTTTTATCGTCCATTTTTAAGTATACTGATGTCACAAACTTTTGTACGCTTTTGTGTGGATTTCCACCTTAATCATGAAGAACTTTAGCATATAAGAAACGCTTCAAACCCTTTACCTCGGAGCGTGTTTTTTTTGCTTTGCTCTTCTTTCTGAATGTTAAACAAAAACCAGTTTATAAGATGGTGAAGTCCATAGCATCGTTTTCAGAGAGTTAGCCAATGGCGAATCCACCTTTTTTTCACTGGATAACTCTTCAGCTCCTTATCTAATTTCATCCGCCTGTTATCATTCGAATCGCGTCCAGCACCTATAGACTCTTACGAGGTTTTGAAGTAATCGGCTTTGTAAAGAAATGATTTTCCATTTAGAAAAAGGTCGCTGGGGAAATGTGGATCAGAGACGCAATTGGGTCACGTCAAGGTGACCTGTCCTCTACAGTTTGGCTTTGTCGCCGACCCACTCTCTCACCAAGCCACATTTTGTTTTGCTGACACATGATGTAAACATGAGGGCAGAGCGTGTTTACGATCAAGGTGCCTTGCGTTTATTTTCCATACTCGATATTCTGGTCTATCGTACATCGGTATTTTTGCTTTACGGCTCATCAAAAGGCACCAGTTAGTCGCGAACTGGGATGAGGTTTTAAACTTCTTCAAGAGTAGCAAAACAGGATGCTTTTCAAGTATGTAAGGACGAGGTTTAGCTTGGCAGTATGACACAGTCACGTCCTCATCCTTTTAACATGGACATTTTGGCTTTGCCTACGGTTATCCTACCACCATTTCAAGCGGTCTTGGAAACGTTAGCCCTTGTTTTTGCCCAGGTGGTATTGCAGAGCACCGAGGCCTCCCTGAAGAGGGAAAAAGGGGTACTACTGGGGCAGAATATGCATCGTCTACATGCCGTTGGGTTTGCGGCTACTGGCATGGCCCAGAGGCCAGGAAGTAGAACGGTGAAGCCCTGTGTGGCCCTTTACCAAAACCGAGAGTTAAACAATTAGAGTACTGCGACGTAGTTGGTTTCACCTTCACTGTTCAACATCCAAACATACCACTGACTTAGATATTCAGTAAACCTGTTCTCATTTTTGACCAACCCCTCATCAAAAGTGTTTAGTTTTTCCTAAGGGAAAGAATCCCCAACTTTAAGGACAAAAAAGAGAGCTTCAGGCTGATGTCATCTCGGCATACTGCTATACACCTCTAACCCTCTTTTCCAAACCTCGCAGGCTCGCTATTTTCCTTCCACTTTATTTGACTTAGTACCGTGTTGTATGAGATAGATCAAAAACTGCTCCGCTGAATTAAGAGTGGCATGAATGCCCTTGGGTAATGAGATACTAGGCGAAAAGCAGTCGTACTTTGTTCACTAGACAATCGTTCCGAGACATCGACGAATGTGAATTCGGAGTCACTTAGTCGTGCATTTTTTAGGTGTGATCTATCAGATGTCGGAAAAAAAATGAAGTCTCACAATTATGTTGTTCCTTGCCACGGTACCTCCAGGTGTGGGTCATTCGTAGTGGAGCTCAAGATTACGTCTTCATCCTTAATTTCGTCAGAATGTTCTCAAAGGATCATTTTTATTATTTTCTATATCGTTGCCTCAAACGGCACCTACTTTAATTCACTTATCATCAATCCATCAAATAAGGAAACATAGGCTATGACCAAAGCTAGTGGTGAATTTGCCAGCCTAAAGAAGGCTCTCCCTCGTAGAGCATGGCAGGTTGTAATAAGATCTGCCAGGTGTGATCAAGACACCAGCAGCAAACTGAAGGCAAGCCAGGAAGGTCACCAGTAGGTCGCTTTTAGGTGTATAAATTTGAGCCGATTTTAGGTGGCCAAAAAATGCCGATGGCAAGAATGAGCCAAAATTTCTTATTCAAAGTAGTAAGAAGGCCATTACGTCGATCTAGGAGCCAACTTTGTCAGTGCAATAATAATTTGTTGCTACGCGGCTTGTACAACTGCGAAGTAGGCTTCTCGTGGGCAGGTAATCGGTCAGGAACTAAAAGCTCTCCACCAAAGTGAATCACGTTGAGGTGTACGACGCAATCCCCCACTAAGGTAGAAGGCGTCCTACCTCTCTGTGGTCTGTTCATCCAGGTTGGAGCCCTTTAATTGCTACATCATGTAAACAAGGAAACGGGTTGCAAACTTTAGGAATTTTACCGCATTTTCTTCCTCAAAATGAATATATTTTTCACCTCTCTTTTATTTACTGACTATGCAAGTCAGCTAACCGGAGGAGCCATTAAATTGGGATGTTTTTGATCGGTCTCTCTTCAAAAGACGACAGTTGAGGATTTCTTTCTCAAGGTGAAACTTCTTTCCTGTATGCTCACGCTAGCCTCCTTTATGCCCTCATTTATTCCTCCCCATCATGGTCTCTTTGCTCCTCCCTTCACTAATCCTTCGTTTGATAATGTCTCTCCATAGCAATGGCATCCCAAACAGAAGATGGTACTTGAGGGAATAATTCGCATGACAAGATGCTGTTATAACAGACTAATACACTTGCCCGAGTTCCTCCATTGCAATGACCTTCGTCACAATCCTTTTTACAACTCACCAACTCTTCGTCATAGTTGCTGAAAAAGTCCTCGTCAGTCCTTAGAGTGATCAGAGAAATACTATCAGACATCAGAGAAGAATAACATCTTTGCAATACTTTTAGTGGCATTTGTAGACGTCTAATTAGTCGCGTGCGTTGACAGTTGGCTAGCTCGCTGAGAGACAGCGGTCCTTAGTTGTGGCGTTCAGAAGTTGGGCAAGCATCGGCTTAGCCCCTTCATCTGATTCGGTGTCTCAAAAACAGTCATTCCAATTCTGATATCAGTCCTGTTTTAACCGAGTCTTAAGCTCTGAAATGTCACTAATAATAGGGGTGCGCGATGACTGGCACTTGACACTGCGTCATGTAACTCACCTTCAGCGAAAATAGCGGCAATGAGGTGAAGATGGTGGTATAAGGTAATCAAATAAATTAGCGCGTTCTTTAGGACAGAAATAATCATCATTGCAAATAACAACCTGATCTGTTCCCAAAGGGGCATAGGTTGCCTGGGAATTCCATCTCTATGCAGTGCATTGTCTTCAAGAGAAGAGAAAAACCATTCCTGGCCATATACTTCCGTACTTCACCATTTCAGGAGGAAGTGCCTACAGCAACTTATCCAATGGTAGCGCTAGGTAAATGCCATTCATCACTTTGCGCGACATCAGCAGGAGGAAGTTAGCATCTCAATGCAAAAGCACGCATTAGAAGACTTGGGTAGTGTCTTTATAAGATCTTTTCAAATCCAGCAATAAAACTGAAGGGAGATGCACCATAACGAGGTCGAGGCGTACCTTTTCAATACTATCATCCAATGCGACGTTTATTTTGTGTGTGTGACCTAAAATTTGCAGAATAAATGTTAAATAAGATCCTCGAAAGGTTGGAGAGTGTGAGTAATCATGACCTAAAAGCGCTCTTAAAAAGTACTTTAAGGAATGATGTAGTGAAGGGCATAATCTGGCATTTCCCATCGAAAATGCCCAAGCACCTTGAACATTCCTGTTAATTCATCCCCCTTTACTTGAAGAGGTATTTCACATGGTTTCGAATAATGGTTCCTGAAACCTCACGGCCGTGGGAAGTAGTAGCTTCCCTTTTACTGGGAAAAAAGTTATTCTTTTCCTTCTCTTACTTTAAAACGGACTAGATATCCATCACGAAGCCAGATGGTACCATAAAGTTGTATTTATGTAGTAAGAAAGGTGGACTAGAAATCATACAGCACGAAATAGGCTACTGAAATCGACTATTTCAGCGTCCCACTGTTGCCAAACGCTATAACCATGCAAAAACTTCTTTCTCCTTAATTTAGATCGCCTTCTTAGCACCATAACTTCCTACTTATGCTTTGATTCTCCGAATCTTTCTGTGAAGTAGTAACAAACCCCCTCCTTTCATGATGTGGAAAAAGACTTGTTACTACATTGGTGACACCAAAAATCCTGATGTGGTTGACTGGATTCAATATCCAACGTCACATTCACATTTACCGTTAGTGAATAATTTTTTACATAGCACAATAGAGAAGCTGCCAACCCAATTAAAAATGCAACGATTGGGATGGAAATGCATGAACGAATGCACTTCCAAACTTCAGCTTCGAAAGTCGACCACGACATTTGCATGAAGACATATGACTAGTGTGGGCAGCTCATTGGAACGCAGATAGATGATCGGTCAGCCTGGAATCGGTAAAGGGTAATAAAACTATTTTGTTGCAATCCTTAGCACGTTGGGAAAACTAGAGTCAAATGCAAGTGCATGGAATCTCGTTTATCAAGGGAGGCAAAAAGTACTTTTTACAAAGCACTTCATATTGCTTTTCCTATTCTTTCCCTACTGTGTGGGCAAATGGTGTGTAGTTACACCATAAAATACGTAATGAAGCTCCCCATATCCGGCTGTGTCCACCATAAGTTCCGGTTTTCGCGATGTAGGCTGACCGAGGTGCCAGCAACTGCGAATCCCCAGTGTTGCCATTGTCATTATTTTTCCTCCTAAGAAAAACTCTTCCTCTGGAACCCTAGAACATAAGTGATCTTCTGGACCTTTTAAGCCTTTTTCTCTCTGTCCATCTATTAATCCAGAGAAGAGGTAGTACACTAGTTAGATAGGAATGAAATCCTCTTTAGGTATGACATTTCATTTTGACAGCTAATCATTTTTTACCGTGTTACTGTAGTAACGATTTGTTATTAACAATGCCAGACAGGTGTTAGGCCTAAAATGAGGCCTTAGAGATTATTCTTGGAAGGGACTGTTGCTGTCTACAGTAGTCGCATTATGAAATAAATGCCAGATGTGTGATACCCACAAAATGTCAGTCCTGGTATGAAAGGCGTTCAGGTCAAGACAGGGAATTGTGGGGCCATAAAGGAACGAACAAAGTCACTAAATGTTTTTATTCCCTATCCTGACGTTTAAATAGTGCAAGGATTTGTCAATTTGGAGGAATCTACCCTCAAACAGTCTACTTTACTTTATTCTAAAGAGATAAGATTTATTCAGGTTTGTTACACTCAGTGATGCGGCCCAAATTATCCTGGCATTTATCCTTAAAACACCCCTTTAAACTACTTTAAAATTCAAAAGAGGAAAGCTGACATTTCCGGACTATTAGTGCTAGACGTCCATCGGGTGGCTAAAATCAGAGAGGCGTTCAACGTCTTAGCAGAATTGACTGTCCACAGGACTGACTACTGCCGTAGTGGACCGGGATAACCACTGACAGCCGTACCACCAATCGTCTTGTAAAATTTTGCAGCACCCAGCTGCATTATTGCTGGGTGGCTAAGCATTGCATTACCAAAAGTTGCTATTTTTTTGTCTTATGTGGGAGCAGAGATCCACGGAGGTCCGGTATCTATGCCACTGTCAACAAGACGTTTCAATCATCGCCCACGATTATTGTTACCTAAATCCCATGGGATTCGGGGGAGCTCGAATAACAGACTGCTAATGCACGCAGTTACTTTTTTCGACTAAAAGTACCAGTTTGAGGCGAACAGCCTTTGTAACTCCCAGCACCGTTAAATTTTAGCATCTCCGTAACAATTATAATCTCTTTGCACTCATTTTAAAGGGTTAAATTGTTATACGGTAAGGATGAGGGTAAATGTCAAAGTGAAGAACATATTTGAAATACCGGGTTCAAGTTTCGAGCATGAAGGGATAAATATTGTAGGAAATAGAGCCATCACCCAAACCTCACTGCTTATAAGTGCTCTAAATTTACCCGAGTAGTTATCGCGTGTAAAAATATTAAAAATCCCTTAAGCATTCCATCTATCACACCCTCTTATCCTTACCATAGCACACATCTGTCCCCCCTTGACGGAAGTTTCGTATTGCGCAATCACTAGCGGAACATCTCCGCCAAACCACCGTAAAAATTGAATGAGACTTAGAGACGCCTTTTTTTAAATACTCAATCCCACAATTTCGACTGGATTAACTCCACAAATAGTTTTCTGTGGGGGAATATTCCCTGCTTTTCAAACGATGGCCTGAATAGAAAAACCCCAAAAATGGAGTAGAGGAGAGGTCGTGGGGAAGATGGTGACTTAACTGGATGTCCGGCTTCAAAAATTGACTAATATGGATAGAAACCCGTGTTCTGTTATTCAGTTAAGAAAGATGCATCATTTAATTCTCCTACCTTTGGAATAAAGTGAATTTCGGTACAAAATTTACAGTTCAAAACATCCCAGTGTCTGAATAGCTTTACCTTTATCTCTGTAAACCAATATTGTCATTGTTGTTATCTCACATTTCCCATCTCGTCCTCTTAGCACTTTCGCTATTAACACCCAAATATATGGGATGTTCGATTTCCTTACCTGAAACCATACGTCACACATATGTGACGTATTTGTTGGAAAAAGTAAAATAGCCTGGAAAAGGAAAACAAAACTCCCAAACACCTAGACTTTAGTGCTGACCGATTTTCCTTTAATTTCTAAATATCATGTTATTCTATTTGCCGTTTTGGGCATCGCATCCTGGTGCTCTTTGAAGAGAATACCTTAATGCCAAACCCGTTTACTGCCTGTAAGAAATAAAGTCCCGTGTGAATTGGGAGATGGAAGGAAGAACAGGAAGTGAAACAACTGTTTGCCCTCCTTTAATTTGCTTTCATTTTGTGTGCAGTTCCAACACTTCTGATACTGCACCATACGTTATATAACGTTTTTTTCCTTAGCTCCTTTGCAGTCTTTAAAACACTGACATTAACACAACGGCAAGGCCATTTAGAACGAGCGGGGAGATTATTGAGGTAGTGAAGTGTGCTGAAGCACAGCGGAAGAGCTACTGACCCAATAGGGTGATTGATGGATGAGGCAAGAACGGGCCGAAAGTATTTCCAAACGCCAGTTTTGAAGTTGCTTGCGACATTCGCCTGCAGATGCATGAATCGGGTGGACAGATTAATAAAACGCAGACAGACGACAGGACAATATTGAGACAGGAAAAGGGAGATTGATACAAAAACTTGAAATTATTTATAATGACAAGAGATAATTTTAGCACCCTGAGTCTTTCCTGTAGGTAAAAGAAGTCGTGATAGTAGGACATAAATTGCGCTGCCGACGTACAGAAGCGTGGCATGGCCGTATGCCATGCTGCCAGACGGAAGTACAAGGGCGGAGGCTTGAGTACCCGTAAAGCCAAAACGGGGTGTTTGACAAGCAATCAAAATATCATATAGTCCCTCTCTTCTTTTGATTGCCGACCTCGGTGCTCCCCTCGGGTAGCCTCCCATGTCAGGCACTACATCGTGGTCGGCGACGTAAGGCAGAACACCCACGAACCAACCGCAACAGTCACCAAATTTGCGTGCAGATGACCACACTGACACTGGATCTGTCTTCGCATCTCCTTTGGTTTTGGAGTTCCTTCACATTTGGAACCGTAATAAGGGCAGTGGAAATGCACAGACCATCTGGTATCATCGCCACTACTTGTAAGAATACTGGCCCAAAAGCAGTCGCTTAATAAGGGATGGGGTGTAAGATAGTTCCCTGGGATAAAATTCCGCTTCTCTTTCACCATCCCACTTTGTTTTTGCTTCAGCAGAGAGGTGGAGGAGGAGTTATGGCGTGTTTACCTCATTGACTTCCTCATACAGGTACCGTAGAAAGCTTTGTAACGAACTTTTTCAGATGGTTTACTGATAAAGTCACTTCGGATGTTAATAGCATTCCCACAGAATACGGAACTGGGGTAGTTGCCGAAAAATAACACTATTTTCATCCCTTTTGATGGGGTCCGCGTAACCAAAATGAAGAATTATACTATCAAAATATTACAGAAATTTATTGACGGAAATATCTTTATTACATATAGAACAATCTCGGAACTCGTCCGGGCCACCTTGAAATACGAATGGTAGCCTGCTTTAGACCTTTTTTAAGAAAATACCACTTCTACGCCTTAGGCAGGGAATTAATGTTGATGTTGTTGTTCTTTTTAAGCCCATAATTGGACATAACTTTAAGTACTGAGATTGGATTTTTAGAAATTTGCTTCATTCTCTTAAAGTGCTAACGTTACTTGATGGAACCTATAGCACCTTTTATATTTCAAATGGTTAGCTGTCACTCCGTTGGGACGATAACTTATCATTGAGTGACTCTCTACCTAGATCCTGGTATTCTAAACCGAGCGTGATTAGCTAGAGCTCATCTTCCGAGCTGTTAGACAGCATTCGGAGGAGGTGTATCAGTAGAACGCACCACCCAGAAGTAATTCAAGAAGGTGAATCTGGCGATGAATCCCTCACAGATGCGGCATTTAACATAGAAAATGACTCAAGACTAAGATGTCAAAAACAACTTTAATTAATGTTTGGCATGAGAATTGATGAAATGCTTCTGTGGCACATACATCAAGAGGGAGAAGAAAAACCTTGATGGGAAGCTAAAAAGCTAAGTAAACAGGTTCTGAATGCTATCCATTAACAGATGACAGGCAATAAACATGAAAGGCAGTCATTTTTCTCACTTCTTTTACCTACATTATACAAATGCACCATGCACTGCCGATTTATTACGGGTGACTGCTTGCCTGACTGGCTGACCTGGAATGGGAAATGGCGTTTATATTTTACGCGTTAGTTATCCGCGACGAGTCACCTCTCCACTCACTCCGCACTTCCACAGAGGCAAGCACTCATTTGGATTCGTTCAACCACTAAAAGCCGAACAGCGGTCATGTCTGAGATTTGTCGCCTGGATAGACTTGGATGCAACTCAAAGGTTTTCAAGAAATTCCTTTTAATAGGGAACGGTTGGGACTGGTGAACAGGTTGAAGGAGGGTACTGTTCCCACAATAATTCGCAAGACCTCAGTAAACAGCACAAACGACTAGTGAGGTCTCATGAGACAGATTCGACTGGCTGAAAGATACTGGTCAAGCTCATCCCCTACATTCCCCCGGTGGAAGAGAAGGTGGCAGGGCCGCGTTTGGCTTTTTACTCCCAGAGCCAAAGCGTTCGGTGGAATTGGAATTAGCAGGAGATATTCGTCTCTCAGGGAATGGATTGTATTGTCTGATGCAATGATGATTATTCCAACGAATGAAGTACTTTAAGAAGCCTTTTACAGCAGTTAAATTTGATGTCAAAAAAACCCCAAAATTGTTTATTCACCTGATATCAGTGGAGGGACCAGAACGAATTGTTTTGCCGCTGCTGTTGATCTTACATCTTATAGCAATTAAAAGATATTTCCAGTATTATTTTGATGAAAATTTACTTCGAAAATGTACTTTTTTAGATTTATGAAATCTAAAGAAAAAATAATCAAGAGATAGTAAGACAGATGCGTGACAGTTGTCAACCATCAAACGGTTCAAACCATGGGAGTTTTCCGTGAGGTATATGAAATCCCTGTATTTTTAGGGTCCTTAAATGCATTTACATTATTCATCTATGCTATCCTTCAGGCAAAGAGCTCTTTGAGGAATAGCGAAATGTCAGGAAAATATAGTATTTTCATCTTAAAGTCGAATGTGATAAAAGTTCTGCGGTAAATTGCTCAAAAAACCCACACATTTAAGGCGCCGGTTCACATTTCATTTATTGACAGGTTTCTCTATAGCCAAAGATAAAATTTTTTCAAATGCCAATACAATATTCGTCTAAGATGTGACTAGTGTCACACATATGTGACATATATTCCGTACCTGTTTATGACTGCTGATTGCACAAAATCCTATTGCAGACGGAATAATGTAGTTTAAAGCAATAAGAAAGTTAGCGTATCCTTTATCAAAAGTTAGTTCTGCCTTTACGGTGTTGAGCAGCAAGTGAAGTGTCGGAGTCGAGAAAGTGGAGGTGTTGGTTGCAGTTGTGAACAGCGTAACACCCAATTTGCGGTTGGTGACTCCTGTTTGAAAACAACCTTGACACTAACTGTATCGAGATGCCAACAGGTCTAATAATTCCTGCAGAGCAGTCACTTGAAGTACCCGTAAAATCGGACTCCACATGTTATGCGATACGGAAGTACATCCAGCACTCAGGTGGAATAGATTCCTGGTTTTGTTTATTTTAACAAAAAAATGTTTGCTGCACTTTCATCAGCAGCGGAAACACTTGGTAAATAAACTATGTTGTTGTAGTCTGAATTCAAAATAAATCTTATTTCTTCTTTTGACAAAAAAGGTAGTGCAGCAACTTGGTTTCTCAATTCCTCCTAGTAATGGAATGTAATTATGATATTCTCAAGGTGATGAATAAGGAAAAGTACAAGTTGTACCAAATAATAAAAAGATGTTTTATAAAGTGTCAAGAATTCCATCACCCGAACAAGATGAAAAAATGCTTTGAATGTAAAAGAATATGCATGGAAAAACTTAATTCCCCTGTCAGAAGCAAATTCATTCGGCTCTATGGTATCTTGTAGTGATTATTTTACGACCTATCCTAATGGGATGGGTTTATAATAGCGCTGTTGTCAGAAGTTAAGATTTGCTTGCATTTGGTAATAAAAACTTTACTTAGTAGTACTGGTTTCATTGGCCACATTGAAGTGAGCGTTCTCCGCAGGAACTGGAGATTATCCTTCCGTCCTGGCGATACGACTTCCCGTTCTTGTTAATGATCTCACGGCCTTTTTGTTTTCTAGTACTGATTGCTGTACTGTTACGCCCTATTATGGCTTCAAGGAGGAATTTGGCCCTTCGTTGGTGCTAGTCGGAAGGACCTAAGATCCGAGTGAGGAGTAATCCCAATTCCTTTGCCTAGTCACCGGAGATGTCCTCTGTCCATAGCCATAGCCGAAGGCAGGGGTAAACAGTTTCAGCCTTTACCAAAACTCCTATTTTGAGTTCCACAGAGCATAGTGATTGGGTTTCAAAGAATACCAGATTATATCATCGAAGGATTCACTAACACCTCCCCAGACGAAACTGTTTATATTGTAGTGTAAGAACATGGTATTCCCCCATCTAATCCTGGTAGATTTCAGGCACGTTCTACTATGACATGTAAGTGACCTAGAGAATGTGCTGGTTATGAAGCATCAGCCATTATTTGGCGCTACCTCCAAGTAGGTTTTTCTCCGACTCTTTCGCCTCGTAATGGACGCGGTATTCACACTTGAACTTATCTTCTCAAGTCGGCCTTCCAGTTGTTGAAATGACATTTAATCATTTAATCGGCCCAATTAAACGAATTTAACTCCAAAAATTGTCATCGCCTGTGTAACAACCTGGTCATTCTTCTCATGACTCGTATGACATTCCAAATTAGCTGAATCGTCAATACCAGGATACAGTGACTTCAACAAGTGTGGTTGCATTTTAGGTTTCGGTTAATGCTACGGGTACCCCTTTAAATGGGCAAAAAATGCCTTGGTAGCCAATGTCAATTGACATTCCAAAATAAAAGTATTAGGTGCCAATCAGGTGGCTAGAATCAGGCAGGTATTCAACGCTTTGACAGAAAAATGCTCCACAGAAATGACTACTGTGGTCGTGGGCTAGGAACCACTACTGACAGCCGTAGGGCAGGCCGTCTTTGGAAGGTTTACACCATTCACCTATACTACTGCTGTATGGCTGAGCAATTCATCGCCAAAAATGTACTTTGTTTATATTCTTCTGCGCAGAAGGACAAAAACAATCATTCTTCTCACGAGTTGTCTGGTCTGCCTAATTAGTCGGAATAGCGATATCAAGATGCCGTGACTCCAACATGTGTAGCTGCTGCTGGAATTTTGGTAAATGTTATGGGTAAAATATGTAACGAATGCCTAAGAGCGGAGCTATTTTGGGGTAGAATGGTTTCAATAAGGTCTGCTTGTGACTCGTCAAGCATTTGAAATAATAGTAGGAGATGTGGAAGGAAATATGAAAATGACTGTAAAACTGCTACGTAAAGGGTTTTTCCCAAATCCATTTAATCGGTTAGCAAAAGGTCAACATGACGGGTCATCAGATGCATGGGTGGCATTCACTTGTAAGGCTTATTGATCCTCCTGGCAAGTCATCTGGAGAAAATCCTCAAATTTTCACACAATGTTCCTCACAACAGATGAAATTAGGTGCCAAGATGGAAGGTTAAAATGTTTGAGATAGCTCAATTTGATTAAACTTGATTTTCTTCCCCGTTAAGAGGCGTCACCATTGTAACAAACATGCTTTTCGACCTGTGACTGTTGTTTAAGATGTACTTTTACGGGATGTGGAAGTTTGTTTACTCTTGAGTCTATCCTCCATCGTGAACCCATGACTTGAAAAATCAACAACAACAACAACAACAGAATAGGATGTAAGGGAACGCAGGTATCGGACACAAGCATGACTTTTAAATCAACATGTTCACTACCAGTCTCCGAAGCTAACAACAACCGATCTAAGCGAACTTTCTAACAATTTCAGCTACTTATTAAGGTTGAAAAATCTTGATTTTCCTCAAACCAATAACATCCCACATTCACCGAAAAAGAACACATGTCACATATATGTGACGCAGCAGTAAACCTGTTAGGAATACCTTGTTGATCTAGAAATTGAGCCTCCAAAGCCTGTGATAAGGTTAGCAGAGATGATTTCAAGAGTTCTGTATTGGAACGGATTACATGAATCTTATCCACGTCCAAATTGATCCCGATAGCCAAATAGATAGATGGATGGCACACGGATTACAGCCTGCAGATATCTACCGTAGACATCTACACGGGCAGAAAGACCAGGAAGACAGCTTGCTACAAAACAGTGAAATGATATTCTTGTTAAATGTTTATTCAGTCATACGAACTTTTCCTACTTCACCCAATTTAAATGCTGTGTTAGTGGCCCGGAGTTCCGCCCATGCGAATGGTGTCGCAGTACCTTTATACACACATAACAAATCCACTCCTTAACTAGTACGTCTTATAATTTCTTTTAGGGATAGCCCAAACGTTGCACGACAAAAGACAACACAAAAAATTATTCTCAGTTGGTCTTCAGGAGGGTCATTCAAGAAATTCATTCAAAAGCATTCTCATCAAGTCACTCATGTCATTTGATGAAACTCCTACAACATTGAAAAACTACATTACCATTTGCTTGGGCTCAAAGTTTAATGTGAAAGAGACACGAAGAAATTTACTTCGTCCCAAATCAATGCGCTTGCTTGCATTTCTGAGGAAAGTCCAAATGGCGCAAATATTACCGCAACAGGGCAAGAGAGAAAGCGGACCACTCGCAGCCGCAGCGCTTCAAAATGTATCGAAAGCTTACCCCTTGCACCACCGGCTGACTGGTCGAGCGAGCGAGCCAGCGAACAACCATGGACATGATCGCACACACTAGCACAAATCTGTCCACTAACCAGAGCCCTGCGACCGCTTGACACAACAAAAGGAGCAGCAGCAGCAGCAGAAACAGCAGCAATAACAACCACGCTATCACCGGTAATAACCCAGAAACAAGAACTTCTTAAAGGTTGGTGAGCCGATGGGTTGGTTGGCCGTGCCTATTCCATGTGTATCCTTTTTACGTCGGTTCGCCGGTGGCTTTTGTTTATTCTTATGCCTTTGTGCGCCAGGGGTACAGAACGCCATGACAAGTGGTTTTCTCTTTTCTGGATCATATCCTAGCTTCACTTTTGTGCATACCGCACATTTCCTTTGAACTGTCAAGGCGGTTTGTCTTATCAACCATCATCGGGTTGTTAGGTTGATTTGTATCTGCATAGACATCAAGATGTTGTGTAAATACCATCTACCCGAGCGAATTCGTATTGCTGTGGAAACTGAAGCTTTCGCCATCAGCGGTTTCAGCGCCGGCCTTCTTAATCAAAGCACCATTTTTCATCTCAATGCGTATGTAGAAAGCTAATTAGTGAATCTTTACCACTACTAAAGTTACTTTGAGCGTACCTAATGCCGTTTTGGATGGTGGATATCAGCATATGCCTGATGAAGAGGGAACACATTGGGACAAAACGATTTAGGGTTAAACCGCAAGCGTATTCGAGTGCAACATTAGCTGTGAGTTTGTTATGGACTTCTTTTATACTGCCATATTTTATCATCTATTTTAGGAATGACTCTGAAGCTATTACTCGGTGATATGCATAAGCAAATGTCTAGGCCAAAATGGGACCTTTTGGTTAATAACTTCTGCAAGGAACTTTCTCTTGGTGATATGACATGAAGCAGCAGATGTCACGTGTGTCATACAATGCCCAAATAGTTACTGTTTATGATGTGGTTCAGCTCAGGCACTGCTAACCAACGTGACAGTCAAATGCCAACAGTGACTACTGAACTCTCTTGAACATTCGTATCTACAGAAGACTTCGGTCGCACCGTGGTACAGTGATGGGGCTCTCGTTACCTCAAAATTACGACTTTCTACTAGAGCTGATCACGGACGTATGAGCTTCCAGCCAGAAGCCTCTGTAGACATTTGCCAGGGCATTCAGTGCTTGCGAAACCTGCATAATTCTGGATGCTTGATCGACTTATAACCCGCCATGAGATTTTACTTTAATCTAAAAGATTATTTTCAGTTATGAGAACTTGGATCCCTTTGGCTACCATGCCACCGGCGGTGACAGGTTGGTTCCAAGTGAGTGATCAGTGAAATACAGAGACAGAGGGCTGTGTCGAAAGATGAGGATAATCTTTGCATGTCTAAATTATTTCCCCCACTCGTAACCACTGAAGGAGTAATTTTACTAGAACAATTTTTAAGTGGGACAGAATGAAGGGACCCAAATCAGGGAAACCAAAGAGTCATAATTATGCATGGTTGCAACAATCTAGGTTGAATTGCTTTTTTATGGGTTCTGCTGAAATTCGTACATGTAAGTTCTTTCCATCAAGTATCTGTTTCCCGATGCTCGCTATATAGTTAGCGCCAAGTACTCGAAAACCTCATTAACATGCCGCTGATGTTTGTTGGTCCGGTTGCTCCGAACTTACTGGGCGGACTCGTTTTTCATCTTTAGCAAAACATTTCTGATAGGGGTTAGGTACAGTTTTTTGGATTCCTTCCTTGGAAATATGATCTAAGGGATTATTTTAGTTGGTAAATAAATAAGGGAGAGAACGCCATACCCTTTCACTACAGGCGTTGGATGTAATCCTTGAAGTGATAGAGGAGACGAAGTGTGGCGTAACATGAACCGCCTGTATGGTGCTCTACTTGTATTTACAGGTAGGCAACACCTCTGGGAGGATATTTTGTTGTCTAAAGGAAGGATGTAAATGGAAAAGAAAATATATCAAAGAATTTCAATTTTTCTCAATTTGTTACCCTTCTTTGGTGGGTTTAATTACAGCACCTCGCGGGTATTGGCATTCCCAATATCAAGTAACGTAGTGTCCCCAGACTTTCCTGAGGACAAAAAGGACGTAATGCTCGGGCGGAATATGCCTTGCCAACTTCCATAAGGGCCGGGGGCTACTGGCATGACCTAAGGGCATACCTACTAAAGGGAGTATTGCACAGCCCCTCTTTCCTCTATGGCGTCGTCCCTGGCGCTCCCTTTGGCCAACCTCCCTCTTCGGTCACTGCAAAGTAGACGTCTTATCAGTCTCACCGATTATCGTATTTGCTTACAACTGAGAAGATATTTGACCACAACAGCGCTAATCTTTCTTGGCAGTTCTACTAGACCTGACTTTTTGGCCTGTTTAAAAATTGTATTTAAGGAAGGGGAAATATGCTGTTGGCCATCTAGTATGTACGTCCCTAGTCACTAGTTACCAGTTTCAATATGCTTCTAAAATCCTCTTTTTTGTGAGAAGGATATTTCTCTAGTTGAAATAAGGCACAACTGTTTTGGGAAACAGGCCATAAAGACTTGAGCCTGCCTTGCGGCAACAGCCGCACAAACGAGGTTCCTGTTAATAAAACGACAAATTGCCCTCTAAAACAAAAAAGTGGCTTTTTATTGCCTATTTAAGCAATCAAAAGGAGTAATATGAAGAATATTTAGTTTCCTCCACTTGATGTTGTCCGTGGATGTACCTTGGCCATCAGTGATTACACGATCGCAGTCCTAGCCTAAGTTGTCGTTCAGTTGTTGTTCAGAAGGAGACATTTGAGGGTTTCGCCCCACCGAATTTAAGGCATTCGTACCCTTTGAGAAATTCGTTAGATCGAGTTGAGGATTTAAAAATGCGATAATAGGACTGCCATAATTAGGATGCGTGCAGTCTCGAAAGCATCTTAGTTGAACAGATAGACTTTTCTAGGCTTGTGTATAGGCTATTTTCACAGACGACTACTATCCATGGTGAATAACTCCAAAGTATCGCCTAATTTTGAATAAAAAATCGAGTGCAAAAGGCTGAAGATGGAATGGTCATAGGTCCTTTTGAAATGGAAGTGAGTAAAATTAAGGAGCGAGGAAGGCATTCAGGTGTCATTGCTTAAACCCAAGATGCATTCAAGATATCTGCTACTATAAAAAGGCTGTCTTGCTTGATAATCATGCTAAGGAAGACAAAACTCTGGGGTAGGTTCAAATTGGGTCCATTACCCTTACTTCGGAATAAAAGATTAGAAAGCGCTCTTTAAATGACAGCAGTTAGCCAGCCAAATATAATTTTCATCAAAATTTCCTGACCAGCTAATTTGCTTTAAGAGAGGATTCGCCAATTTCGGCTTCTTTCTGCTATAAAACGTATAAAATGGAAGGTTTAAAACAAAATAGATAGACTCGGTTCTTGACTCTAAGTGCGGAGCCTTGCGTTTGGTGAATTTTTGGATTTATTTGACTTGATTAAAGAAGAAAGATATTTAAAGTAATCATCAAGTCAGTAACCAAACGGAAGAAGTTCATTCAGCAACTATTCCTTATAGATAATGCAGAGTTTTTTTGTGGTGGAAAGGGGAGGTGATCGTGCATCATAATAAATGGCAGTTTGAAATCACCCTTTAGGTGACAAGCGGGCAGAATGAACCGATCTTGTGATCGAGATGGTGTCATAGATCCTCAAGGAAGAGGAGGAGGGGAAGAAGTGATAAATTTTACTTCCTCAAGAAACTTCTACTGTTTGTAAACTTCCGCATTATCAAAGCAAATGACATCCTCCTCTAACTACTCTTATCCACCTAAGGATCTGAAGCCAGAGATGGAAGAAAGTAACTGAGAATAATTCTTTAAATGTCCACTTCAAGCCCATGTAAGCATACGTTGCAGTGGTTATGCAGAAATGCTTTGAGCAAAACTGCACGCTTGAAAGTGATTCTAGACAACAAACTGCTAAACAACCTATTTCCTCATTAACCCAACAAGCAAGTCTTGCTTGTCCGGACTTATTTTTACTTGAATTTCACCAAAATTAATTACTCACCCTTCTGCTTAATAGCTCGTCAAAGTGGACCATCGTTGGTGTGTCTTTCAAAGTAGCCTTCAAGTCGTGGGGCAAATCTGACTTCACTTTGGCTTAAAATTGCCTACAAATGGTAGAAGAATCGTCCAGTGAATATAGACAAACCTGTTTTAAACGTTCTGACTTTCAACTTTAAAGTGTATTTTGGAGTTTATTTTGTAAACATTTGAAGCAGGCTCTTTTTAAGGTACTATTTTATCTTGTTAATAATTCTTGACGAGGCAGCTTTGGTGGCTGTGGTTGTCCCACTTTCCTCCCTATCCACTTCTTATACATAAAATCACCTCTCAGACAAAGCATCTAAGGTTCACTTCATGTAAAACTTGGATATTTTGGGGGGCAATAGTTCTTTTCACTGCTCAAAAAGTTGGAAAGCAATTTTGGTTTAGAATCCTGAAAAAATGGATTTAGTCTCAGAGTTACTGGTCTTTTCCTGATCAATTTTTAGTCCAAGGATTATTCGCTGAGAGCGGATCAAAGGGAATGAAATGTGATCCAGTTTATGAAACTATCAAGCCTCTCCGAGGTGGAGTTTATCAGAACCGGAGACATTGTGTATGCTTGAGATTGAAAAGTCAAGCGAGGTTGCATTTTATTGCAAGCAATTATTTAAAGCAGTTTCACTTCACCATCTAGATTTTTTTCTCGAAAGTAGATATGCAAACTATCCCATTATATGATCCAGCTTAACATCTATGGTCTAGTGTCACGCATATGTGACGTGTATTCTTTATCGGTTCCTGCTGACTAAATCGTTATTTGCCATGCAAAAAATAAATTGGAGAAAGAATCTTCTTAGCTTGAGGATAAATGCACCTTTTTTTCCTTGAAAGTCTGGTCGAAACACCAGGAAATCAGCGCCATGGTGCCGAACGTGTCGAAAAGTCAAATCCAATCCTACGTTCATGAAGGTCCCAACATGATTTGGAAATCGCAGCTTTTCCCCACCCTTTTGAAAAAGAAGTATAAATCTCAGAATATACTTTTCGAGCAAATTAGAATACACTTAGTTACTCTTTAGGGTAGCGATTTTTGCCCTTTAAAGAATTGCGTTTCAGTTGATATCAAACGAAATTCCTTTCAATTAGATTGTGAATTTTTGGCAAAAGGGGAAACTTTTATCTCTTCGCCAAAGTAAAATGAACTTTCTTAGTATTTTCTACCATCTCTTCCTGGTGCCTTTAGAAGGCGTATTTGGGACTTTTGTACAGTTCAGGGCGAACATCCCTTAAGATAAGCTTTTGGGTGGTGTCCCCTCGACTGTGCTACAAAATACCCAAGGCAAGAGATTACTTAAAGTCAAAAGTTCATGACCCCAAAGCCGCGTGTATGAGGATACAAGTGGGTGTACGCGACCTCAGACCCGATTATTTGTGCCAAAGTTCTGCCCATCACCGCGACAACCCTCCACCTGTCGCCGACCTCTGGGACTCAGGCTGGGAAAGTGACACAACAGATTACTGTGCACTGGTAGGCAGTTTAAGAAGACATGTCAGAAAGCCTAAAGGACAAACGCAGGGGTTATGTACACACAAATTCCTTCTACCGAGAAAAGTGACTTTTGGGTCGTGGGCGAATTTCTTAGACCGGACGTTATTAAGACACATTATAGTGCAAATCTTCCCTTGAAAAAGATTCGCAATCAGAGCTTCGTAGCGCTGAAAACTTTCCACTGCTTTGTTTTTAATTCATTTAAGTGTAAATTCGTTCGGTGAAATAGTGAGACAGTGTTCGAGATAATAGGAAGTTACTGAAGACATAAAGTGTCCGGAATTTTTCTATCTCTTTGATTTAGACTTTGGTGTCAATTTAATCTAAACCATGATGGCTTTGTTCAACCCCGGTGGCTTTATGTGTCAGGTATCGAGTCTCCACACCTCCAATACCTACGTCTGGTGCACATGCTACTACAATGACCTCAGCCCGATATCAATTGACAAGCAGTCGTGCCACAAATAGGATGGTATGGAGTGATCCTGGTCTGAGAGGAGCTGTGGTTTCCCAGTTTATGCATGTCAGCGGAAGTGATGAGTTCGAGTGTGTCAAGTGTTTGTGACACTTTAAAGTGAGGCAACACTTGACGGCTGGTGGTCCAATTGCCTCGGAGAACTCGCTAAAGCAGGGATTTATTAATTTATTGCAACTTAACACAATGTACTTTTTACTGCATGAAACAAAGTTTACTTAACGAGTGTAGAAAGCGTTCTTTTTCATTCTCAAAGCTATTCTTACACACCTGTAATTTGACAGGAATCAGAGAAAGAGGTTTTTCCGCCTTTATTGCGTTTTGTTGCGATTTGATGGTGCATAGTAATAGGGACAAAGAGGAACTTCTTTCTCTTAGTGCAAATTCTTTTGAAGTAGACCTTTGGTGGCAAAAAAATGACTAGCTGTCCTCCTAAATATAGAAATGAATGGGAGGTGAGCATGTACTGAATGAGATAGCCTTTAATGTCTGCTTTTCGAGATTCCACTTACAACTGAATTTGTATAAATGCTAAAATTTAAAAATTGCAAGTAACTAGAGTAAAGGACTGATTTAAGTCCGGAATTCATAAACAAACCCTCTTTTAATAGCACAGAAGGGCAAAAGTGATGACTTTAGTGACTTAGGTGGTATTGTATTTACTAGTTTGCTAGGAAAGGAGATGTTCTGTGTTAGAAAGTCAAAATAAATAGATATGTTGACTTCACATAC